ATTTGCTATATTCATTTACGAGCAAATGCCCTTGGGAAATGTATGAATTCACCTCTCCTCCAAATTCTTTGGGTTAATTAGTAAGGCTTGTGTCACTAGAAGCATTATAATTTAAAATGAAATAAAACTGCGTAAAAAATATTTAGATTTCGGCATTAAATAACCCATAGAGGTGTTGATGTGCCACTAAACAAAATCAACCAATCAATAGTACCTAAAAATTACTAACAATACGTATTCAAAGGAAAATGACCAACAACACATTTTATCTGTAGTTGAAAGCATAAATCCACCTACAAAATAATTTGATTTCGGCATTAAATAACCCATAGACGTGTTGATATCAAATTAACCAACCGACAGTACCTATTTATAGTAAAATTGCTAACAATACATATTTAAAAGAAAATGACCAACAATACATTTTATCTGCAGCTGAAGGCATAAAATCACGTACAAATTATTTAGATTTCGGCATTAAATAACCCATAGACATGTTGATGTGCCGCTAAACAAAATCAACCAACCAACAGTACCTATTTATAGTAAATTTACTAACAATCCATATCCAAAGGAATACATTTTATCTTCAGTTGAAGGCATACAATTGTGTTCAAAATATTAAGATTTCGGTAATAATGACCCATAGAGGTGTTAATATGCCGGTAAACAAAATCAAACAAAAAACAACATGCTGTTACAAATATATTTCTATTTTATGCTAGCTTAAAAGCCACCCATCGGGCAGTGTTTAACCTAGCTCCCGTGGAGGGTTCTTGATTGGCCCTTCATCACAATAGTTAGGGGGGGGGGAGATGCGATAGGCAAGAATAAACTACGGAAGAACTCAAAATTGATCCCTGAATTTAATTATTACATTACTATCGAAGCTTACCTCTTAAAACTTCAACGATGATTCTTCTGCCACCACTTAATTTAAATACAATTTGATGTACGTAGGTTCTTACTTTACATACAAACGATTATTTTTATTTTCTGTGTGACTTTCACTGGATTTCGGAATTAATTTCGATTACTCCCAAATTTATTTCCAAGTTATAAAAATTATTATCGTACAAAAAATTCTTCGCAAAAAATAAATTACGTAAAAAAAAATCGCCGAAAACAATCGCAGTAATGAAAACTTGTGATTCCAAAATTTCAAGATTGTGGGCCTGGAATGTTTTCTATTTGCTCACGGAGTCGGCCTGATTCCGAAATGCTATGTCCTGAAATTCTAAAAACGGAAGTAGAAGCTACACTAGCGAAACTGAAGGCGGCAGAGTCAGGCGGAATTGTGACAGAGATGCTGACAGCCTTAGATAATTTTGGTGTAGACAAGGTTACGGAAATAATAAATAGAATCTACAACAGTGGAGATATACCCGAGGATCTAAGCAGATCTATTTTCATAGCACTTCATAAGAAACCAGGCGCAAACGAATTTGAACGTCACCGAACAATCAGCCTAATGAGCCACATAAGAAAACTCATTATCCGAATTCTGTTGAATAGAGCGCGTAGCAGAATCAGGCCAGGGATAGGATAAGAACAGTGCGGGTTCGTTAAAGACACCGGAACAAGGAACGCGATATTCAAGCCCAGAAAGAGCAATACAAATGCAGAAGAACGTGCACCTGTGTTTTATAGACTATGCAATGGCGTTAGGTAAAGTACACCACAAAGATCTCTTAGAGCTGCTCAGCAACCTTGACATATTTGGTAAAAACGTGAGAATAATTAAAAAAAACCCTCTACTGGCAGCAAACCGCCTGCATAAAGATAAAAAATAAGCTTAGCGGATATACAAAAATAGACAAGGATGTGTCTTCTCACCGGACTTCAACCTATACAGCGAGGCAATTCTGACAGAACTGGAAATTCTACCAGGATTCATCATAGGCGGCCACAACATAAGATACGCAGATGGCAAATTGATGATAACAGAAACGGAAAAGAAACTAAAAAACCTCCTACAGACGGTAACGAAGGAGAGAAAGAAGAAGGGACTAAGCACAAACTACAAGAAAACAGAATGCATGGTCATCAGCAAAAAGATGAGCCCGAAATGCAATTTACAGGCCAGGGACACTATAATTAAGCAGGTACGGTAATTTAAATACCTGGGAAGTGTTCAGAAAGAGGACGCAAAGTGTGACACTGAGATCCGAAGGCGCATTGGGATGGCCAAAGACGCATTGCAAAAGCTAGTGTAAATAGTTACAATACCTCATCTCAGAAATATAGACAGATCCTGAGGGAGGCCGGAGCGTATAACGACCGAAACGTCGTGAATATGGCAATAAAGATGAAGACAACAGTCCGAACGATATGAATAATGTAAATAATTTAAATGCTTTTTCCATGACGACAATAGGAAAATTCCTAGAAGAATTCTGTGGATAAGACAAAATGGTATCAGAATGCCAGTTAAACATGTTATTCTTATAAGAATTTGTCTTATCCACAGGATTGTTCTGAGAATTTTACATATATATATATATATATATATATATATATATATATATATATATATGTATCAAAATGCTTTTACAAACGTTGGGAGCAGGTTCCTCACACCAAAACCAGGACAAACGTTTATATAAATGTATGTCCGCAAATCCTTCCCTTTTGACTTTAAAGAAAGTTTAAAGTAGAGGGCACTGTGTTGCCATGGAGACTAGGTTTACATTTGTCATTCGTGTACATTTGTGGCTAGTCTCACTTCAATGTTTAATGTGTGTAGTAGTGAGTTAACTGAGAAGTGTTTCGTTCAGCAATAG